GTTTAACCAGCAGAACCGCCATGCTGTAATTCCTGGCTATGTCGTGGACACATCCTTTTTAGGGGCCAATAAAACCAGTATTGAAGGAAAGTGCAAACCACTCCTCAGTAATGAAATCCAGCCACTGTGACCTAAGGGATACAGGTGCCCACTGGTATGAGGTGCCCACATGAGCTCAGATCTAGAACAGAAGGGCAGGCAGAATGGTCAAAGCCAAACAACTGGTAACAGAAAAGAATAAAGTCAAAGCGCCAGTGTGTTAATGCAAGGGCGGTTAGAGCCAGGCCACCTTCTGCTCACAACAGTAACTGCATGGCTTCTGTGGGCCTTTGAGAAACTCCTACCAATAGTACTCAGGAGCACAGAAAATACACGATCCCTAATCAAAAAGAAACAGATAGGGGAGCCTGGATGGCTCAGTAGGTTAAGCATCTAACTTCAGCTCAGGTCATGATCTCACAGTTTGTGAGTTTGAGCCCCGTGTTGGGCTCTGTGCTGACAGCTCAGATTCTGTGTCTCATTCTGTCTCTTCCCCTCCCCCACTTGTGCTCGGTCTCTCTCTGTCTCTCAAAACTAAATGTAAAAAAAATTTTTTTTAAAAAAAGAAACAGGCAACAACCCATTTACATGTACATTTCAAGTAGCTCCCTTATCATCTCTTCTAATCAGAGATGAAAGAGCATCTAGAAATGTCCACGTCTAATGATGACACTCATTTTTTATTAGTTACCCATCTGCCCTTATTCCTGTTTTCAGATGGGAAAACATGTGTGCTTCTAAATATCTTCCAAAACTCCTATCCATGTAGGTTTAAGTAACAAAATTGCCTCCCCAGTGAAGGTGTGTTCAGGCTAGTGGAAAAATCAGGCTGTGGATTAGGCTAGGTCCTTCCAAAACTCCAAAACTATTAAAAGTCTTGACTTTTCTTTTCATTAAAGCAAGTCAGTATTTGACGAGCACATTCCACATTTTAGAGCAGAATCCTTCATAGATAAAACAAAACAAAAACAAGATACTGAAAAGGCACACACTTAGTGAAAGAATAAATTATTCTGCTCAGTTTGGAATAACAAGATGGCTGCTTGCTTATTTTAAAAATATCAAAGGCAAGACTGGCCCAAAAAAAAGAGAAAAAAAAAAATCCCAGGAAAGGTCTTGGTTTCCATTACCTATATTTGTATAAAAGCTATGTGTTGTTTTAACTAAACATCTGGTCTTTGTCCCTTATGTAGAGAATTCTGAGTTTTCTTGACACTTTGGCAAGAGGTACCATAACCCCCTGCCAGGCCAGTAAAAATCACACATTTTTCCTGCAAGGAAAAAAATGTCAATAAAAATGAAACATTAAAAAGCGTTAAAGCTTGAATTGGAAAGCTGTGCTGTAGAGAGGCTGCTTCCTAATCAGCCTTGCACAACTGCTTTAAAAATTCTTTAAAACACTACCACTCCAGATCATTTGAAAGATTTAATACTAAAAAGTTTGTTCAGTATATTGTTCTATAATACATCCTTTAGACATAGGAATCTTGCCATTTAATCAACCTTCTAAAGTAAATCATTTGAATTAATTTTTATAATTATTTAATGTGTACTCTTGTATCATACAAACTGATTCTTTAAGTTACTCCAATGAGAACTGAATTTCAACTGTTTTTCCTACATGGAGGAATAATCTCTGTCTCATGTTCACATCAGCACCTTACAAAGCCCTGGCATTGTCATCTGTCATAATAAAAAACATAGAAGTAAATACAATCCTGACATCAAAATAGGACAAGCTCATTATAACAAGCCACTCATAAATCTTGAAACAAAGGCACCAGCACACATTTTTAAAACAGTAATTTTATATAATTTGCATAGGATGATTTTATTTGGAACCAAGGCAGGTATTTCTTTCTCTTTGCACACAATATACTGAGATGTATTATACAGTACTACCATCACCCACCTCTAAAGGGGGCCTGAAATTCATTAACAAATGGCTAAAAAAGTACTTTGCAAACATGCAATGAAAATAAGACTATAATGCCCATAAATTCTTATGCATAGCACAACAATTGGACTATGCTTATATGGAAAGAAAGAAATAAACTGTAAAAAGGCAAATAAATGCCCTGGAAATAAACTGCTTGGGTGAGGATGAGGAACAGGTTTCTATAATAAAATTCTCCTGGATATTAATATTCGATACCTATTTGGTAGACATCACCAGGGCCTTAGAGGGCACGGATCAATGTGTGGAGGAAGGTGGCTCTTCTGCATAAAAATTTTAATAAAAACTTGCAGTCCATGGCACTAAAACAACCCCTTATTTTAAATATTTTCCTGGAGGCGCAGATAAACCAGAACCTTACAAAAGTCCTAAACCCAGCTCAAGTCAGCTCAGTTCCTGATTGGTCGAAATGATTTGCCCCCTACTCTAACTGCCTGTCAAAGGTCAGGGACATCTACTGGGCATCAGAAAGTAACAAGTAATAAGAGAACCCTTTTCTGCCCTAAGCCAGTGGAGCCTATGAAGTCCACCTAATGGAAGACCCTGAAGTATGGTCAAGAAGCCCTCCTTAAGGCTGTCTATTCCCTTTTCACACCTTACCTGCTGTTGGAACCCATTAACACAGCAAGAGCCATCAGAATGTATTGAATTTATCTCGCTGCATGTTGCACTGTAACAGGATAAAACATGCTTGCATTCCACCTACCTATACCTGACTGTCCACGTATGGGTCTCAGTCTGGGAAAGCCTTAGATGTGAACCTCACCAGGAGAATGTTAAGATGTTAAGATCTCGGTATAAGCCAACAAACTTAAGCTCTGATAATGTAAAAGGCACAGTAAAGAGAAAACTCTGGTCAGCAGCCAAAACTGGGAAAAACCATTAAGAAGGACCTTCAGTTTTAACTCCTATTCCTAATACCAATGAAAAATGTATTCATTCATTTAGAAATAAAATGTTCTGAGCATCTGTGAGATAGAACAATGGAAAGAGCACTGTGATCTGCAGAAACAAGGCTCTGCCCTCATGTAGTTTCCAGAGCAGTACAGGGGAGGGAGGCCAAGGTACAGTACAGGACAAGTCAGAATGAAAAAGCCACAACTGGAGAACAAAGAGCCATTTATTAGAGCTGGAAGTCAGGAGAGACTTCTCGCAACATGTGATGTCTCAGCTGAGACCCAAACGATGAAGAGGTGTAAGAAGGAAAGAGGGGAACGGATGAATATTCCATGCACAGGAAAATCATAAGCAAGAGGCCTGGAGGCAAGAGAAATGCATCCATTTGGAAGAATAAAAGAAGTTTATCATAGAGGCACCTGGGTGGCTCAGTACAGTAAGTGCCCAACTCTTGATCTCAGCTCAGGTCATGATCTCACAGTTTGAGTTCAAGCCCTGCATTAGGCTCTGCACTGACAGCATGGTGCCTGCTTGGAATTCTCTCTCCATCTCTCTCTCTTCACCCCTACCCCACTTGTGCTCTCTCTACCTCTCTCAAAAGTAAATAAACTTAAAGAAAGAAAGAAGTTTATCATAAAGCACAGAGGTGGTAGGGAGTGGTGAGCGAGAGAATGCAGAAGAGGTAAGAGGACTCCTAGTAATTAAAATTGGGCTTTCTAAGTGATTCCAAGAAAAATGGCAAACCACTGAAAGGTTTTTTAAAAAAATCATAAATATGTTGTATTTTGTAAAAATGTTTGTGATTACTCTGTGGAGGAAGACTTGGATAGGAGCAAGAGAAAGGTCTAAGCAAGAGAAAATGGTGAAGTGAGTAACGGCAATGGGGATGGAGAAGTGTGAACAGATTAATTAGAAGCTAGAAGAGACCAGGCTTGACTGGTTGGACAGGCAGAGTGAGAACGTGTTTGGAATGCTTGGGTTCAAATCCTGGCCATGCCATTGATCAGGAGAGTTGCTTCACCCTTCTGCAGTTTAGTCCTCCTTTCTGAAAAGTAGGAATAATGATAATAGTAACTGCTTATGAGATTATTATGAAAGATAAACAAATTAACTTCCAAAGTACTTAGGACAGTACTTGGCGTGTGGTTAAGTGCTCAAGAAAATACTATCTATTATTACTGAGGGTAATAGCTCAAAACTAGAAACAATTGTTCATTAACTATAGATGGGATGAGGGAGGAAAGGGAAGGAGATAGTCACAAAGGATTTAGGAGTGGTCCAATGGGTGGATGATTGAACCAGTTATCTATTTATTGCCCCTCAGCTCCAAGTCCACTCCTCATTTCATGCTCTGAGATAACAGAGATGGACCCAGTAAGCATTTATCTTTGGTGGCTATAATAATTTTAAGTTTTGTCAGTAAAAGGCATTAGAAAGCTACTACAGGAGGAAGGGATTTCTCTTTCTGGCTCAAATGAGTTTCCATTTGCTTCTTTTTGTTCCTACACATGGCTGCCAGTGGTGCATGTTCGGGACATCTGGTAGCACTCATCCCTGTGGAGTTGATTCCCAGCGAGTCTCAGAGATACCCCAGAAGTTGCCTTCCCAGCAGTGGCCCACCTGCACCCTGGAAGACTATCTCCCACTTGCAACTGCAGACAGGCTCTGGCCTGGGGTGACCCAGGAAACTTCTCTGCCATGCATACTTTCTCCAATATGGTATGAATCCCAATCAGCCTATCCTTTCCCTGGATACTCTCCCTTGGCTCTAATGTATTTTTTACCCTTTTATAGTTAATCCCCATTATAATTAATAATTCTTTATATTAATCAAATTACTGCTCAAATTACTATGTATTTTCTATCCTCTGACTGGACCCTGACAGAAAGAGTACTCTTCATTGAAATGGAAAACATAGGAGGAGAGACCTATATGAAAAAGATAAATTCCAATTTATTTTTTTTTCTCAACAAGAAACTGAAGTTTATTCATAATATACACAAGTCATGTCTGACAACTGGGAAAATGCTATTTACATAAATCATTGCAGATTTAAAATACATAGTATTTGTATTTTAATACAACAGGGTCCCAGGATTCAAACAAGTAAGTTTGATTCCCACTTTGCATTATACACTTGTCTGCTCTGCTACAAAGAACTATAGTGGAGGTAAACTTTGGCAGTGTATTTCTCAAGAGTCAGGAATTAATGAATCTCATACATGTGGCTTTGCGTCTGTAGAGGAAGGTTTAACTTCTTCAGCATTTGTACCAATTTCTGAGTTTTCCTCTGTAGAGTCCTCTCCTGTTTCCTCTTCAGAATCAAATTCTTGACTATTTGGTGATTCCAAGTTATCCAGAGGTCCATCATGCAGTCTCTCTATCACTTCTGCCATATACTGTACATGTTCTGCTACTTCCACCAATTCTTTATTTTCCTTTTTCAGGAAGGCAATCTCATTGTCCTTCTCTTCAATCTCTTTATGAAGTTTCTCATTTTCCTTAAGTGCTTCATAGAGAGCCTTCCTCCGTTTTTCTGCCACTTCTTTCCAATATTGCGAGGATGAATTTTCTGCAATCATGAAATCAAATGCTTCTTGAGTAACTTGAGATACCTGTGGAGCATCCCTATCCCGACCGTTTGGTCAGAAGCCAAGGATCTGGAGGCCTAAAGCTCAGAAGTGTCCAAGCTGGAGAGAGAAGCTTAGAAGTGAATAGCCTTCAGGTCCCTAAAATCTTAGTAAGTGAAGCTTGTATGTAAATGCCACATGTCCAGGAGATAGATTTTTGTTCATATTTTTTATGCTCATATGTCTCAGCAAGAATCCCAAAATATGTTATACATGTGGCAGCACATTTCATCAAAAGATTTATGGTGATTTCGTACTATGTATGTTAGGTCATGTTATAGCTAATGTTTTCAAAGCTAACTGAAATGCAGTTGAAAAGTGCCAAGTCCTATATTAATAAGATAACTCTAATTACACTCTAAACTTGGAAGTTTGAACCTCGTGGAGGCAGGGGAGTAATTAGTCATATCAGCTACTCTAGATGTTGACTATAATCAGAAAAACTCTAATAGACGTGTCAGAACCTCAAGTAGCAGTACTGAAAACGGATGCACTGTTAATGTTTAAAAACAACCAGATTAAGAGAATGTACTTTGAAAGAGACCCAGGTTGATTCTTTCTTCTTTTTCCAGGGTGTGAACTTGGCCAACATAACTTGCTCCTTGCTTCACCCATTTCTCAAAAGTTTGGATCTACTGACCACAAAAAAAAGGAAGTTCCATCAGCAGTTTGCAAAGGAACAATTTGAAAGAGAAATGCATTAAATCCTCAGGGAAATTAAGCTCAAATAATCCAATAACAGTGTTACAAAATTAACCCTAGACTATGAATTGAATTAATTGCCTCCTACTGTGGGGTTTCTTGGCTAGCACAGACTAAAACAAATGAGGCCAATGATGTCAGCTGCCTTTAAGAGAGGCTGCAGGCAAGTGTGACCTTGGGGTACTCAAGAGTTTACCCATCGTTGTTTCCCTAATTTATTCTGGAGATCTATAATATAGAAAAAGGTCTTCACTTCTGCGCATCAAACCTCAAATCATGGTAGGTTCTGGAAAAGGTTCCAGATGGTATAATCCATGACACAAAAAGATGTGATTTTATAGTTCAATCTTCTGTGAACTCCCCTCTAAGTGTCTGTATCTAGAAGTAGCTAAAAATCAATCACTGTAAGGTCTTTTTTCCCTGATAGGGTTGAATGGGCAGATGGGAACAAGTAATAATTTCTCTAGAATCTAGGTATTCTCACGATAAGACCAGTCTTTAAGAATACCAGTCAAGGGGCGCCTGGGTGGCTCAGTTGGTTAAGCCTCCAACTTCGGCTCAGGTCATGATCTCACGGTTATGGGTTCAAGTCCCGTGTCGGGCTCTGTGCTGACAGCCAGCTCAGAACCTGGAGCCTGCTTCAGATTCTGTATCTCCCTCTCTCTCTAACCCTCCCCTGCTCACACTGTCCCTCTCTCTCTCTGCTCAGAAATAAATAAAACATTAAAAAAAAAAAAAGAATACCAGTCATATGTTCCCAAAGAGACTCGCTTTGGCATTTCAGTAAATAGCCGCTTATTTCTATAAATTCTTTTCTTATGCCATGATGTCAGTATGCCTGTGGCAATGCGAGATTACCTAAATAATATGGGCCTGGGGACTAACAGAATTAGCATGTGTGTGACTTATCAAACCTCTACTAGGGTTCTTAAGGGTTTTGAGGAGGAAAGTAGGATGCAGCCACACCACAGAAATAAAATCCCAGTGATTTATATGGTTTTGCCAAATAAGGCCCACAGGGCAAATACAAAAGGCATGGAACTTTCTCCAGCCTCTCCTGAGACAGCCAGTTTGTCAGAATGCCTGCACATGGTCTGATGCCCACCTCTCACGTCGCAGCTGACATTTACTCCTGAAGCTTTTTCATAACCAAACAGCATTTTACAAAAAGTTAATTAATGGCATTTTATTTGGGTATTATGTGACTTAGAATTCTTTTTACATTCTTAACTTTCTTTGATAGTTTGAAATTACTATGCCTCACTCTTTTGTGAGGGTAAAAAATATATTTTTTTTGTTTGTTTAACATAGCTAGCATGTATTGAATAGTATTATTTTTTCCTTCTGAAGAATTGACGCAAACACCAAAATATTTTTCATTTGAGCTGAAAGAAACGAAGCATTCTGTTTGTTTGGAATCTTAATTACCATGGCCCCAAACTTACCTAATTAGAAACTCCTTCATAATGAGGAAAATTATTTTCAAAATTAATGAATTTGCAAACAGGAACATAGCTGCCCTTCTAGAATGAATGACCCACATTCCTTAAATGCATAGTTTAGTGTATGTATTAATTAATATTAGTACTTAAAACATGTGGGATTTGGTTTCACTGTTAAATCAATCTTTCCTTTGTTTTTAGACAGTATAAAAAGACCACAATTCCCCATCTTGCAGACATCAGGCTGCACACAGAAAATTCTAGATTCTGAGCAAAATGAAAGTTATTTCATCAAAATGCTTTATTTTATTGACTTTAGCCACTTCAAGCTTGTTAACATCAAGCATCTTTTGCAAAGATGAATTAATGATGTCCAATTTTCACAGCAAGGAAAATTATGACAAATATTATGAGGTAAGTCTTTTAACTCTATCTAACATGACTAGCATTAACTATGTATATATGTCCTAAATCTAATGCTTTTTTGTATTTTGTAAAGAGTAAGGAATAAGTCTGTGCTTTGTTGTTTGTCTAACTGGAGCCTTCCCATGACAATGCACTGATATAGTTTGTAATTTTTAACAAACAGCAAACAGCCTGGCCTCTTGAGTGAAATTTATGTACAATTTATGTAACAAATATAAGGTGCATTAGTAATTTTCAATGGACCCAGAAGTACACGGTTGTAATAAATAATTGCTGATACAAGATCTGGATACACAGAACATTTGAATGGGCTTCAACTACAAACAAACAAAAATAGAAAGGTTATATTTTCTACTTAGCAATGATGAGCTGGTAAGTTTATGGTAAATCTTCATCTAAGTAAAAGAGTTATCCCTAGATGGTGGAATTGCAAGTTATTTTTATTTTCTTCTTTATGCTTTTATATATTTTTCAAATTTGCTGAAATGAGTATATATTACTTTTTATAATATGTATATTACTTTTTATAATCAGAAAAATAATCATTTAAAAATCTTAGCGCCTGGGTGGCTCAGTCAGTTAAGCAACAGACTTCAGCTCAGGTCATGATATCATGGCTTGTGAGTTCAAGCCCGGCGCCCAGCTCTGTGCGCAGAGCCTGGAGCCTGCTTCGGATTTTGTGTCTCCCTCTCTCTCTCTGCCCCTCCTACCCCCATCCCATAACTAAATAAACATTCAAAAAAAAATTTTTTTAATCTTCTTAGGGACAAATTTTCATGGGGAAGCTAAATCTAATTAAATATCTGTTGTATTTTAAGTGGTTTCTTTAAAAATGTTTTAATGTTTATTTAGTTTTAAGAGAGAGAGAGACAGAGTGCAAGTGGGGGAAGGGCAGAAAGAAAATGAGATACAGAATCTGAAGCAGGCTCAGGCTCTGAGCTGTCAGGACAGAGCACACTAAACGGCTTGAACTCACAAATGGTGAGATTGTAACTGAGCCACCCAGGCCCCCCTTACGTGGTTCCTTTAAAGTTGTTATAGTAATGGTGCAGTAACCCACAAACCAACCACTGCTTTAATAAAAATGTGATTATTTACTGATAAAAATGCAAGCGGTTTCTTGAGCAATGCTTTTAGAGTAGAGCTCTGAATATGAACAGGTAAGAAAGAAATTCAGTGGAGCCTCCTCCAGCTCTTCCCCAAAACATGGCTAGCAGGTTTCATGTATCCATCACTTTGGCATTTGAAATGAGGAGAAGCAAGAGACATGAAGAGGCAGTGGAAGGTTTCTCTAAACTCAAAATATAAAAATATATGAAATACTTCATAAACAGCATGAATCAAAAACCGAAAGAGAATAACTTCAGCAAAATAAACTTTTGCCTCATTTCAATACTTTATTATGTTCCTGCTGCTCAAACATATTGCTGTATTCACTATATTTTTTATTAATATTTTATGGTTGTCTTACAATAGTCCAGGGACAAAGAAACTTGATTGCTTTAAGAAGCCTAATGTGAATGCTTTATTTAAAAATTCTGCACATAAAAACACAAACTTTGTTTATAGCTTTAAGACGTATGCAAACTAAAGTCTGGACGTAAGTGAATTTGGGGTTTACACCTGCTACCTATAACAATAACTGATTTTAATATTCATCTCTAATCATAGCCTAAAGGAGACCCTAAGGGAGAAAAGGAAAGAAGTCTCAGTTTTGAAGAACTACAAGACTGGGGTCCAAAAACTGTCATTAAAATGAGTGCACCCACAGTCAACAAAATGCCACACTCAGCAGCCAATTTGCCATTGAGATTTGGGAGGACCATGGAAGAAGAAAGAAGCACTGGGGCAATGGCCAATCTGCCTCTGAGATTTGGAAGAAATATAAAGGAAAGTATCTCAAGACATGTTCCTAATCTGCCCCAAAGGTTTGGAAGAACAGCCAAAGGTGCCACCAAGACGTGGAGTGATTTGCTCCCACGATCCATGCTTTCACCATCTGCCAATGAGTTACTTTACTCTATGAACTGCCAGCCCCGAGAAATCCAGAACCCTGATCAAAAGCACCCATGGTAAATACCTGCAAACCAGTTAAAATGCATGAGCAGTTATATACAGCTGGTCCGGAAACATTAAAAAGGATGACCTCTTTTCAAAAGTTTCTGAGAAAGTTAAGTTTCTCAGAAGGAAAATGGTAAAGAGACAGGGAAATGAATACGTGAACTGAGAACTATAGACGGGCCAGATATAAACATGCCCATAGGTAAAAAGTACTGAGGTGGTTTCCCCTAAGCCACACATGGGCATCAATCTCATCACTTTATAGCCACACACTGAATAGGAAAATTCAATGACAGGATTGGGAATTTAAGCCTATGACATACTGTCCAACATTTGATCTCTTTAACGTAAAAGGTCCCTTATGAGGGAATTGTCTACAAGTACAGAGGATGCCATTTCAATACACCAGGTCTCAAATTCAGAAGGTTTTCTTCCTCAACTTTAAATCAATTTTTTTCTTTTTTATGGATCTCATTTTATAAATGAGTTATATTACTATCAGTGTGTATTAATAAGTATTTATTATCTACTATGTAGAAATCAAAAAGCAAGAGTTTGAAAAAAATTAATAGGCAAGCAACTTCTTTTTTTGTTAATTTCTTTTAATGTTTATTTATTTTTGAGAGAGACAGAGCATGAGTTTGGGAGGGACAGAGAGAGAGGGAGACACAGAGTCTGAAGCGGGCTCCAGGCTCCGAGCTGTCAGCACAGAGCCCCGCTTGAACCCACAAACCAGAAGAAGATTGTGACCTGAGCCAAAGTCAGACACTTAACCAACTGAGCTACCCAGGGACCCTTCTCATTTTCTAGTAGAGAGCATATATAAGAACAACCACAAAAAATGTATATAGAGTAGAACATGACACTTTAAGGCCTGTAGAAAGTCAGGTAGCAAGCTGTGATGCCTTATAAGTGAGACCTTTGCAGAACATTCCTAGTTTATTTTCACATGGCTCTTATTCCCGTCTGACATATTTTTAGGGTCCATTCTTCTTTACTAGAATTTCAGGTCCATAAATCCCATGCTTTTTGTCTATTGCATGGCACAATGGACAGTGCCTGGGGTGGGGAGGGGAGAGTATTTTTACACATAGAAATCCGGGAGAGTTTCATCAGTTAGACTTTGAAAGGTGGCTCTGTTTTGACCATTCAGAGACAGCTGGGAAAAGAGAAGATACTTTCAGGCCAAGAGAGAAGTATGAACAATGGTACTAAACCAAGGGTGAGCCCAGCCCAGCTAGGGTTCGGTTTGGTGAGAGAAGCAGGGGTGCAAAGAGGAGAGGAAAGAAGGCGACAAGGCTGGGGTAAGATCAGACAGTGCAGACTCAGGGCTAAGTAAAGGACTTTGGATGTTACTCATCAAGCAAAGGACGGGGCACCTGTGTGGCTCAGTCAGTGAAGTGTCTGACTTCAGCTCAGGTCATGATCTCAAGGAGCCTTTGTTCCAGCCCCTTGTTGGGCTCTGTGCTGACAGCTCAGAGCCTGGCACCTGCTTCCGATTCTGTGTCTCCCTCTCTCTCTGCCCCTGCCCTGCTTATGCTTATGCTCTCTCTTTCTCTCTCTCTCTCTTTCAAAAATAAGTAAACATTAAAAAAGAAAAGGAGAACCACTGACATTCTGCTGAGGTCCTGAGATATTATTTGGGGGTAGAATTTGGCAAGTAACCAGATGCTGGAAGTGGGGCAGTGAGGAGGGAGAGAAGAGAGTCCAGGGTAAGTTGGTAAGTCTGAGTACCCCATTACAAATTCAGGATCTCATCAATATGTCACTCATTTGAAGCACAATGCAATTCAACTCAAGTACAATTAAGCAATTAGGATCATGGCTTGTATTTTTATATGCACTTGTGCTACTGTTATGATGGATGAGAGCATATTGTACTACTTACATTTTAGGAGAATGGGATTCAAGAAAATAGAGGATTCAGAACTGAAACAAGAAAAATAAGAAATCTGGAGCTTGTCCCTAAAGATGATGTAAAGCTGTGGCCGGTAATCTGCAAACAACTCTACTGTGAAGGCAACAATGAATGAAGAGTCATGGTACTCTTTTGATGGGCTGTCACTGGCAACAATTTTTCTTTGTCACTAGAGCTAGTATCTTAAAAGTTATTTAAAATATTTTAAAGAATATTATAATGTAACGATGAAATAATTTTTGTCTAAATAAAAAGAACATTGCAAACACTTAAAAAGCCTCTGATAATGGGGAAAGAGGGGAAGAGGGACACA